TTTCTCATTTGTGAAAGGAGAGCTGCGCTAAGTGCTTCCCAGAGGCTGCAATTCGAACAGGCCGAGACTGCACGGGGGAAGGGGTGTCACTGTTCACTGAGGCTTCCTCCCTGCCCTTGTGACAAGGTTTCCCCTGGGAGGACAAGCAGATGAATGGGAATATGGTGCGGAGCCCAGGCTCCTTCTGACATGCGTTTCAAAGGTAGTCATGGACCAGGATCAGGAGACAATTTTGTCACCGGGAACAGTTTGAATACCTTTCACTTGCCTGTGAGGCAGCTGCTTCTGGCACATCTTTCTCAAGATGCTTTCTCAGACTGCCGTTTTCTCTTTCTGAACAGTGAAAAACAACAGCGGCAGCAGAAGTGTCAATGTCTGCGTGGCCCACAGCAAAACAGCCTGGATAATAACAGCTGTCAAGATAGGAGTGGGAATATAAAAAGACTCTTTGGCAAAACAGCCTGGATAACAACAGCTGTCAAAGATAGGAGTGGGAATATAAAAAGACTATGTGAATGGAGGACACAAAACTGCCTGAGAAGACATTTGTCCCAAATGATCATGTAAGAGGGGAAGACAAGCATCAGCCAGATGCAAAGACAGCGCATGTGCTTGTAACCCGCACATCCTCTCAATGTGTTTGTGTAAGACGGTGTGTATGTGTGGGAGGGGGAGATTAGAGCTTTTGGGGATAAGTGAAGGGTGGACATGTATAGGCATTAATTAACATTTTGGAAGTTCTGGCTTATCTGTTATATTATTGGTATGGATCTCAAATGAATAGTTCACTGGTTGCTGCTCAATTCTGTGTTATGAATAAATCAATAAACCACTTTGATCCAGATTCAGTATACAGTATGTGACAGGAGCAGTTTTTCTCTGTGGCCAGAGCTGCCATTTCAAACCTGCTTCAGAAGCGGCACTCCCGGCCTGCAGCCCTCTCGCTCTGCTCCTGTCCAGCCCTGGCTGGAAGCTCCAGCAAAGGGAAGTCTGGGGCTGGCGTCTGAGTAACAGGTTGGGTACACTGGGCTCAGCAGGGAAGTTGTTAGGCCCATCTGAGATTGAAATGCTCTAGTTTGTGTTTTGTCAGATGGGAGGGAGTTAAAGCTCAGCTGCCAAAGGTGTATGTGATCCTACTGAAGCAGTGCTTCTTTGAAGAGGATGGCTAAGGAGAGGAAAGGATTCCACTGGCAATACTGTACATTTGTGTAAAGCTTTCAGCCCAGTTAATGCAGAAACCTGAACCTACCCTCTTTCAAATTAGAGCATGCCACCCTCTCTGCTGTTTGCCTCCCAGATGTGTGACAATAAACAGGAACCCCATGCACTGGGAACTGCTAGGGTTCATAGTAAGTTTATCTCACTGCTAATTTGGGTTGTTCCTCCTTTTATTTTATGTTCTTGCTGTATTTGGGGGCACCAAATATGCAACATATTGCAGATGCTTGTGTTGTTTCAGCTATGTGAAGGACTTCTGAAAGACCATTGACTATAGCAGAAGGGACAGGCAGCATCTTTTCATTGCTGGATTACTACATTATAGCTTTGATCTCTGGGTTGTGGGAATACTCCGATCATTAAAAAGCACACAGGATACAGTTGTGTCTCTTTATGAATTCCTAAAGCATGTCAGGTTGTATTTCAAGCCATTTCTTTGCTTTTATAAGCATGTATTTCCTCTTGCTTATAACTTTTCGGTTATCTTATTCAGGTTTGGAACAGGGCTGGAAGAACAACTCAGTTTCGGTTCGCCTGACAAATAAAGTTAACTGTTTTCTATTATTTCACAAATAATAAAAAAATAAATAGAAACTTTTTGTTTATTTTCAAAGTATATATTATGTATGGGGCTTTTCTTATGCTTGAGTGGAACTCTAAAAGGAACATCAGTTTATAAAGAGAAAAGTGGATGTTATATTTTAAAACTGCAACATAAAATATTGTGACAATCTCACTTTTTTATCTCTGAGCCATAACTAATTGTTTATTTTTTGGTTGACCTAAGTCTTAATTTTTAGAATAAATACAATTCTAAAACAGCAATTAAAAATTAATTTTCCCTTAGCTTTAATTCTGATTGATGTGGTAGCTGGGATTTTATTTTGTATAATTCTCTCTTTCATGCTTACCAGGTAGAAATAGATTTAGTTTATTTAACTTTCTCTTTCTGTCTTCATAATATATTTCCCATCAGACAGTTTTGGAAGTTTATTTAGTCTGTATTTACTCTTCCTCAGATGATGAACAGGCGGTATGAGAGAGACAGAAAATCAGGCAGGAAAGGAAATGCCTCTGGCATACCATAAAGGTCATTGTAACAATCTCATAATCTCATTTCCTCTTTAAAGTTTACCTGGGAGTCCCAAACTTTTTTTTTTTTTTGCTTTAGCTCTGCCACTATGTAAAAAAGGAACTCAAGCCACGTGTTGCAATTCTGTGGTATTGCGGTGAAACGGAGCATCCCTTTCCTTTCGGAGTTTAGAAGTATTTATAAGGGAGCCAGCACTTTGCTTCCTTCAGATCACAAAACGAACCTGCCTGGCAACTTCAGCTAACAGGCATCGCAGGAGAAGGTGAGAATTCCTTTCTTCTCTGACTCTGGGGCAACACAAGTCTGGTACCAGCTGCTTCAGATGAAACTAATGATAACTTACAATTATTTATTTTATTTAAAAGTGTATTTAAACAGTTATCATGACATTTTTCTCGGGACAGTATTTATATGGTTATGTGCCTGAAGTTAAGCATATAATGTATATATGTGTATAGCTTATATAGCTTATAGAGTTGTTATCTGACTAACAGAACAGCTAATGTTGTAAGGTAATAATCTTTTGTATCTTACCAGTATTCATGTTGCTCGGGTGTGTGCATCAACAAATATGTATTTATGGTCATACTGTTCTCTGTTTTAAGAAACATGCGACACAATTGACTTGTCCCTGCCTTGAGCTGGGACTGGTCCAGATGATGTCCAGACGTCCTTTCTGACCAAAATTATGCTGTGATTCTCAGTGAAGGAATCTGTGCTGATTTACAGCAGCTCATGCTCCAGATCACAGGCAACATATGATGTTGGTACACTCTCCTCATCTATGAAGTGCTCAGGCAACTGCACTGATTAGTGATGTTCAGAAACTGATTTTATTTCTGATATATTTTTCAATAAAATTTTGAGATGGGGGGAGAGGATGTTCTCCTCCATCTCAAAAATGTAATAATTTTCTATGAAAATTGTTAACTTTTTTCATCAAAAGCCTGAATCGTGACGCTTCTTCATAAAACCAGGGAAACTTTTCTATTTTCAAGGTTTCAATTTTGATGAAAAGTTGATACAGAAAAGAAGACATGTTTTACACCCTTCTCCCAAGTTTTAGTTGGTATTTCAGATATTGGTTTTATGAAGGATAGTGATGAATGCCATGTTACAATGAAAGAAATGATCATCTTTCTGGAAGTCGCATATTTTTCTTTCTCAAATTACAGATAGTCCTGCCTGCAGTAGAAAATCATCAGGAGCTAAGAATGTTTGCCTTTTAATGAGGCAATATACAGCTGATAGGCTGCCTGCTAGTATCTGGCTTTTCACTAAGGATCCTGCGTCTCTCTGAGTACAGATGCAATGTGAGCTGGTTCCTCTTCTAGATACTCTCTCCGGATACTATACTTGTAGCTTCTGGTCCCATTAATAGCTGTGCTGTGCAGTGTATAAAATCAGATGGCATGCTTTCTTGGCATTGGCCCAGAGACAGCTTACTTCTGATCAAGATTAAGTACTGCTAATAACAGCAGGAGCTTCTAGTTAGTAATAGATTTGGTGCATTTAGAAATACACACATACTCTTCCTCCATAAACCCAAATGAAAACATTTTGTAGCACATGAGAACAAATCAGAAGGGCTACTCCCCTTTCTCTGAAAAAGACTGGTTTGGGAGGAAAAAAAAAAACAAACCACTTAATTTTGTGTTTTTCAGGTGCATTCAGACTCCCACTGTAGTCAGAATAGACTTTGAAAGATACATTCACCAATCTCTTTTTCGAAGTCATACTCCTATTCATTTGGCTTAATCTCCAGTTGAAAAAGGTCTGAAAGTGTATCTAAATAACCATCATTAAAGTTTTTTATGCACTTAGTGATTACTACAATATTTGGCAAATATGTTTTGTGTTTCATGAAGAGCTCTAGCTTTATTTTGAATTCAGGACAAGTATACATTTATTTCTTTTCTATACAGCTACATACTTACATATTCTCAAGTGAGATATATGTATATGTCTCAAATGAACAGAGCAACAAGGATAAACATATCCCGCCATTTCTGCAAATACAGCTGTGGGAATGAATCCAGCAGGATGTCTGAAATTGCTTGCAAAATTAATTAGGCTATGCTGTCTCGGGTGGGTAGGAGAACGAGTCCCAGTTAGGCAAGTGTCAGTGTTGACAACAGCTCTACACTGCATTATTGACACGCTGTCGCTTGTTCTCACAGAGATGGTGAAGACTACAGTCCAGCAAAACACTTCAGCAGGTCCTTAATTTAATTTGCAATCCTTTGTTTTAATAGTACTATTGACATGCTTAAACCAAGGAATATAATTATAAGTTTTGTATGACTGGAATTTAATGTCCATTGATCCTTTAGTCCAATGCCTTGTTCATGCAACGAGCTTCACTGGCATCAGCAGGACTTTTCTTGTGTGAGGAATATTTAACTGAGGGACCTGGGAATGCTTCTGAGCTCCTGACCATCTGAGACCCATGCAACACAACAATTTCCTCTAAGTTCCATGATTTCTTCTCTAAACTGGTTTGTGGTGTGAATAACAAGCGAATCAAAGTCTTGGCTTAAGCTCCAGTGCAAACCTGATATTCAATTTTTATGTAGTCTAAGAGTTCTTAGAATGGGAGAATGTTCCTTAGTTCACCGGAGCTGACTCTGTCTTATTATTATCCTGTCCACCATTGAGCTCGATTTCAGTACACACTTAACAATCCTCAATGCAGTTTAGTTATATATTTTTTCCCTAACTTTCATTATTTTCCTTTGCTGCCCTTCTGGAAGCGCAGTGGAAACTGAGGGAAAATGGTAAGCAGTCTTCACCTACTGAGACCTACAGCTGACTGTAGGGCACAAGGGTATTTCAGAATTATACTTGTGTCCGCCAGCCCAGAATTTGTTGACCATAGTGTCTTAGGCCAAGGTTCCTCCTATTTCTTTGTGAATAAATAGCCAATTAATTGGTATTAATGGAAAAAATCTTTAAAAGTCCTAAAATGTTATACAACAGCCGTTCTGAATATTTGCATTAGAAACTGTCTTATTTCCTATTCCCCATTCTCTTGTTTCAGTTATGCAGTCTGGAAGCAGAAACAGTATCTTGTGACTTAAGTAACAGCCCACAAAAACACAAATGAAGAATTAATTGTCAAAAAATATTTCACAGTAAAACCTAAAACCTAGAAATAGTTTATCCAACTTTTCTGGTAAATAACTTAAATGTAAATATATTTGTAAAAATATAGGTTCAGTAATAAACAAACAAATCTTCTGAATAACTTACCAGAAAATTGGGCAAAATTCAGATAATCAAATTTGCTGTTCTTATTCACCCAGTGTAGCTCCATAATCCAGCCTGTCTTCAAAGTGATTATCCAAAAAGAAAGACCCTAATGAACATGAGAAAAGCATTCTCAATTTGATTGTGTTTTATTTGTAAAAAGTAATTCAATTACTTTTCCCCTTATCTTTACATTAAAAAATGATTTATCCTGTGGGTTCCCTGGGCAATACCATGGTGCTGAAAACTGCAAATGTATTTGACGGTATTGAGAATAATCTTTGTGTTTGAAGTCTGTAAGCTTTACCTTGCCTGTGCTTCAAATATCCATAAGCAGTTTGGTAAGCGTCCTAGAGTTGCATGTTTTCTGCCATTTTAGGTTCAGCATTTGACATTTATTTCTTGGTGTTTCTTCTTTGTGGTAAAGTCTTAAAGCTCTCATTCTGGTAGTGAAATGCTCTGGTGAAAAGGTCTTAGAGCTCACTGGGACTCTGCTTTCTTGAGCTGGGTGCTTGCTGTGGTGTTGGCACACTAAGAAACAAATGTTTGCCGCTTCTTGCATGTAGAAGAGTCTCTAAACATGGTTGGGGAGCCTGTGACAGCAGTGGTAGACCTGAGCGATGACAGTTAAATTTGAGAATTAGTACCACACAGAAGCGTAGGTGAAGTTCTTCAGCCAACCACAGCAAAGAGACAAGAGGAGATAATGTTTCTTTAATGGAATTGTTCCAAGTTATCTTCTTATGTGGTGAGTCTTCTAATTTGGAAAGACCAGCAGGGGACTTCAGAGTTACAAAGGGGCCTTTAGAAGACCACATCTCCCTGTTGCAGTCCACTTAGCTCTGCTGTAGCTCAGCGATCCCCCATTCCGTAGTAATTGCTCCACTGGGACCTGGATGATAGGAGTACAGATTGTTCCCTGCAGAAAATGGAACACTATCAGCTACTGGCAAATACAAACCACTTACCCAGAGCTTCTGTCCCTCCCACTGCGCGCTCGCTCACAGACCTTTGACACTGAAGAGGGGAAAGCATTGTAGCTTTGCACCATAGCAAAGCACCATAACAGGGAATGGTTTCATGTGCCGTTCTGTGAGCCAAGGCCACAGGCCACGTGCAGGAGGAATACCTGGGCTCAGTGTATCCTGGCATCCTCACCTTTAAAACAAAGGTACCTGCTTACTTCCCATGGTTATGAACCACTATAAGATCCTCTGGGAACATGGGAAAAAAAAATATTCTTCTGCTAAAATGTCATCCCTATTGATCAGCAGGTTCTAGATACATTGTAAATTTCTAAGTAGAACCTCTTCTTGTAGTAAAGATTTCCAAGTGATGGTGAAGCCTTGGGAAAGAAAACCAGAGATTTGTTAGCAGTTTTCCTGGAGAGTAGTGCTGAAAAAAAGGGCTCAGTTCAATCTTCACACTGTTAAGTACAAGTAGCTGCTAACATGTCTTTCTCTGCAATGTCCAGTGTACGTCATAGAATCAGAGTGGGATGATGAGACACCAGCTAAAAGAGTGGAGCTCACCTGTAACACATCTGATGAAGCACTGCCAGTTTACTGGAAAAAGGACACTGAACTGAGAGGAACTGGAAAGACTCTGATTGCCGAAGTGAAGGAGTTCCCAGATGCTGGCAACTACACCTGTCTGACAGCTAATACCCATGAAATTGTCAGCTATGATTTCTTCCTCATAACTAAAATAGACTCCAATGGGCAAATGATAAGGTCAATTCTGAAAAGCTTTAAAGGTACGGTCATAAAATGATGTGATGCATCTTGCTCAGCTTTGTGCATTGAGCTTCCTAAGGACCAGAGGGAGCTCCCTGGAGAAATATCCACTTTAAAATGGGTCCTCTTCAAATGCTTTACTGATTACTTTTGTGGGTCTGTTTATGGTGCAGCTGATGAGCAGCACAGGAATCTGTTGCCATGGGATTAATTTAGGACTCTCTAGACCTATAGGATAGAGTGATGGTAGGAATGGTTAGATACAGGATAACATCAATACCACACCACTTCTTTTCAGTGGGTGAGCAATTGACTTACTTTGCCTCCATCCCACAGACCCAGCACTCAGGAGAGGCTTCGCAAAACCAGAGCTACATGATTTGACAGAACCAGGGACTGACCTAGATTTTAAGTGCTGTTGTTTGGGCTTCTCCATTCACAATTAACCCACTGAGACAAGCCTGTGATGTTCTGCATTTTCTGCATCGAACTTACTCATCTGTCTCTCATACTGCAGTCCTTCACTGTAGTGCCAGCACCTTATGAATTTCCAAGGCTTTTTCCCTGGCTCCTGGACCCACATATCAGGTGCAGTAAGCCGGTCTGCCAGTCGGCTACACCCAGGGTACAATACAGAGTTGGTGAGAGTCTGCAGTGCTGGGCAGCAGAAACGAAACACATGCCTGTACTGAGGCTTCATTCACTTCTCACGCTGGAAACATTCCCAGTGTGTGAAGCCGTGAGATTATCCATTGCGGGCACTGTCATGCACAGGGTAACAAACACAGAGGTTTGCAAACTGAATAGCTGCGATGTTTCTTTGTGAAAGGAAAATGGATGTGTGGATAAATCTCTTACTGACAGCTATCTGCAACAGCTTGGGTATGCTCTAGCTCCTGTCAGTAGCCACGTAGATGTGGTTAACGTGGTGCCATGTAAACCAGCCTTCAGCCACTAACTGTGCTTATATGGCTTTTTAACTCCAGGTTGCTGCCCAAGGGGCAGTGTGAGACTGTGTCTGCCTATGGACCCACCACCTGCCAAAGTAGATGGGAGTCTGTTGAATTACTGTTTTCTCTCTGCTTTGATCGTTTTGGCAAAAAGAGTAAATAAATCACGTTTTCTTTCTTTTTCCATCTAGAGCCAAACAGGACATTTTTAAAATGTGAAGCAAAGAACTACTCTGGAATTTTCATGTGTTCATGGATGACAGAAAATGAGAGTCCAAATGTGAAGTTCACAATCAGAAGTCTAAAAGGGTAAAAGCTTGTACTTTCCTTAGCAACCTCATAGTAAGGCCAGAAGGGCCCTTTGTGTTACTCTGTGTAGGAGATCCTGGTTTTTAGGCTATTGAGGACATGTAGAAGGCGAGGAATCCCACTTCCAGAGTCTGAACATCTGCAAAATGTTTTGAGCCATCACTGGGACTAACTTAACTAATAAAGGCATGGAAGTTACTCAGAAATTAACAAAGACTTGAAAATGGAACAACCCCCACTGGACTGTTACAGCTGCTACAGTACAGCCACAGAATCACTTAAGCAATAGCAAAAAAACATCATGCAGGGGAAAGAGAGGAAGTTGAGCCAAATGCAGAAACAATCACAGCACTGAGTCCCTTCGCAGCAGATCCAGTGAAATTAAGGGAGTGGGAGGGTGCACCCACTGCAAAAGCCACATGTCCACTGACAAGTCTCTGTTGAGGAACGCTGCAGAAACCTGCGAGGGAACTATGTGAGGGGAACCTTGTGGGGATTTCCTACCTCCCACTACTCTTGGGGTTTCTCCAAAACACGGACTGCTTGAGCAAAGGTCACTTCAGTTTGTTAAAGAAGAAACAACTGCAGCGTTTTGTTTTCCTTAATGCAAAAAATAGAACCAGATTCAGGTAGTACTTTATAGATGGCTTATGTTATTTATTTCCTAATGGATGCATTTTAACCTTCCCTTATTTCTTTCAGCAAGGTTTTGGAAAGGGCTAAGGAATAAAGTAAGATACTAGAGCTTGTCATGGGACAGTGGTAATAAGAAATTATATATCCTGGTTTACGTTTAAACACTAATTCCTTCTGCTAAGGCAGAGGGGCTTTTGTGACTTTACATTAATATGTATACAGCACTGAAAATGTAAGAACTCCCACTGAACTGTTTCTGCAGCTGTTGAAGCACAGACATAAAATGATACAAGCACCATTAAAACATTACCTTACCAAATACATGTTATTACGGCTTCAAATTCTCAGAACAAACCAGCATTTCCAGTACTTTTCTCTGTTCTGTATTCAGCTCTCAAGGAGACATAACCTGCAGCAGCCCTGTAGCTCACACTGATAAATCAGTGACAGAATACACAGCCCAGTGCCAGAAAGAAAACTATTGTCCATTTGCTGAAGAGCACCAGCCAATTGAGATGTTCCTGGAGGTCATTGACGAGGTGGAATATGAGAACTACACTAGCAGCTTCTTCATCAGAGATATCAGTGAGTAGACCAGAAATCATGGTTAACTCTTAGCTTTATTCTTGCTACTGATAGTGGAACTAACAACGGTAGCTGATCAAACCAAGCTTGGGAATCCCTGCCCTATTCTACTGTAAATCTGCATCAAGCCCCCAGTTACTGGAACAGGGGAAAACAAATCATAGCAGCAGTCCGGAAGAGGATGAGGAAGTGAAGAAGCAGCATCTCCCTAACTTGTGACCTCCAACCTTCTCACCCCCACATCTCAGAGAAGTTTCTGTAGCCTTCTGTATGGACATGTTTTGGAAAGGATATGTGGGAGAAGTCAGAGAATAACCAATAGCCCAGCAGGCTCTTCTCTGAGAACTGCAGACTTAATCGGGTGATGGTTAATGCTATGTATGCTTCCCTCCTGATCCATTCTTACAGATGGGCATCCAGGGCAGGTTAATAGAAACCAACAGGAAATAAGAGGACCATTTGTGACCACAATGCCACAGGCACAGGAAAATGAAGCAGCATCCTAAAGAAACAGATGCTTTGCTGAACACCCTAATGGTCAGCAGGGGTTGAAGATACTCCTCTGTGTCCAACAGAGCCCTCTGCAACCCTCCAGGCAAAAAAAAAGAAGGCTCTTACCCAGAGAGACTCTGGGAGTGTGCTTAATTTTCCATAAGAAGCATACAAGGCAGTTCTTACACATTATGCCTACTCCTCTCTTAATCTCATGGATCTCCCAAAGCCAATCCCTACAAAGCTATCAACAGTAGTACACCAACATCTGATATTATGCAGCTAATGTGAATTAATTCCTTCTATATTTTCTCTTGCAGTAAAACCTGACCCACCCCAATGTCAGTATGTGGCCACAAATGGAACAGTGACCTGGACGTATCCCAGAACATGGAGCACACCGAAGTCCTACTTCCCTTTGACTTTCAGGGTCAAAGTTGAAAGTACAAAGAAACACAAAAGCCAGGTAGAGATACAACATTTGAAACACAATTTTCTTGCTTGAAGAATATAATAATATATATAAAATTTTATAAAATAATATATAAGCTTAGTATGCAAGAATCATGGACTAAAATTAAAAAAAAAGAAAAAAGGATGCTGAGACCCAAATGTGGCGAGGTTCTTTCTTGGCAGAATCAGACCTCCTTCCCAGTCCTGTGAGCAGTAAGATCCAAACAACACACTCTGGGGTGGATGCAACCTTGATGTAACTGGGGAGATAAAATCGTGCCCAGCATTGCATAGGTGTGCTAGCGTGAGAAATGTATTTACTAATTCATTAATAGGCTGTGTGGGTTCTAATGTGGGAAAATCCCAATTTCCAAATCAAGAAGTCTAGGACCTGTTGCACCGATTTCCTTGTGTGTTGTTTGTACCTGGGTAGCTCAAACTTTATAGGTGAATTGGCAAATAAGGAATCAGTGACTCATTTGGTGGCATTTCTGTGGAGACTGGCGAAGACTACAGTCTTTGCCACTCACTTTCCAGTTACTAGTTAATTGTTAACTAAACATTTCTACTCTGTATTAGCTTTAAATCACAAAATGGTTTTGCTTCCTTTGCTAATGCTCAGATACACTAAAGGGTACACAACAGTAGTATGGCAATTTGCATAAGTTGCCACAGAAATCAGCAGCAGAACTGGAAAGAAATACACAAACCAGTTTCCTACAGTGCAGGTCCTTAACTGCAGTGCTGCTATTCCTTGGTCCAGCGATCAGAAAAGTAAACAAATGTCATGATGGTTCCAGTTTGTCAACTGATTAAACCAAAGACACTAGAGGATGTCTTTTTCTATGTGAAAAAAAAAAAAAAAGCAAGCCCGTACCAGCAGATGGGGCCATTCTCCTAGTGCTGACTCCTTGACTTTAGCAGAGTTGTTTTGTGCAATCCATTAGGTCGAGAAACCAGCGAGTCTGCCGAGTGCTTCTTGTATCAGCCACAAGTCCTCGGTGGAAATTTCAACGATACTGAAAAGCAGCAACTTCTGTCTTTTAGGTTTTCCACTCAGGGAGAAGAAGAAAAAAGAGAAAACCCCACAAAAACAAATAAACCCTTTGTTTTAATGACTTTTTCAGTGTGGGGGTTGGATCACTTTACAACACTAACTTCAGTGGAAAGTGGGCTTTTTCGTTTGTTTCCACTGAGGCTCAAGTTCTCATAAGTCCTCATGACTTTGGTATCTGTGGGTGACAATTGGTGCCTCTGACACAACAGACTACCAGTGGGATTTTGGAGTTACACGTGCTTGTTGCAATCTATCTGGCACTTTACTGTATGTTCTGCATGACCTTTACATGATGGAGCTGTGCCCTGTTCATAGGTCTACGATGCTGATGAGCAGTCTATTCAGATTCCAATGACTGGGCCAAAAGACAAGATCTTTGTGCAGGCCAGGGATCGCTATTACCACTCATCCTGGAGTGAGTGGTCTTCACGTTGCAGGTAAGACTTAAGAACTTTCTACTGGAGAAGTAGGGATGATTCCTTACCTAGGACAGTAAGCAGTCTATGAACTTATTGTGCTTCGTAAATACTCATTTATTTCACATTTCCTCATAACCGTTTTTGTCTCCTGAACATTTTTTTCATGAAATATCGATAAAAGAATAAACATGTAAACGTATTGGGCTGTCTAAACAATGATTCTCTTAAAAAAGTAAAATTGAAGAAACAATTAGAATCCATTTAAATCAGAGAGGAAACAATGGATGTAGGTTCATGGACATGAGTAGGGTTCTACCTAACTGGGCAAAGAATACTTTATAATAAGTATTCTTTAAGAAATATTTGGCTGTTGCTAGTGTAACCCATGCTGATTTTCATCCTTTCTGTTCATTGATAGCTTATGAATCAATGTTGAGCATCCAAATACAGCAGACAATCCCTATACAGCCAAGTTTTACCAGTAAAATGAGAAAGGGATTGAGAGAGAGAGAAAGAAGATATATTTGCTATTACAGATAAAAGCTTTTAGCAGCTTCGGCTAGTCCTAGGAATGGCTGTTTTCTTTTCCTGTGAATTGATTAGCATTCTCTGACAACTCTAAATTACTCTTAGCATAGCTTTCCAGGTCAGAACATATTTTTAAATATGGAAACAGCCTCCTTCAGATCAACACCAAAAAGAATTATGCAGATTTTTTAATCTTCTTCCACTCTTGTGTTTTGTAATTTTGGAATGGTATTTTTCAATTAGGTGTAGATGTAAATTGCTCTGACCCACAGGTTTCCTGAGTCATACTGTTGAAAAGTTGAACATTTGTAGCCCAATTTAAACACTTGAAATGAGATCACACTGTTCTGTGGACTCAGTCTTCATCGGTACAGGGGTATTTAGAGATACCAATGGGAACTGAGGGAAATTTCCAAGAGGGCCATAGCTGAACGGGTGCCTAACTATCATCAGTTGAAGATGAATCACAAATCTCCATCAGACATGGGAACTTCTGAGCCTTGCATTAGGCCGTCCTGAGTCCATTAGAGAAATTGAGTGGTGGCATTTCACTAGATGGCTCAGACCAGAAAAGCTTTATTGAGAAATGGACTAAAAATCTAGGTCTGAGGAAAATAAAGATAATTCTTATGTAAATTTCCTTTCTCTTATTTTACAGATAACCAGTCAGAACTTCTAGGAGAATGGCACAGAATGAATTAGCACAAGAACATAAGCATAATTAGAAGAAAAATATGCATTTGAGATTATTAAGAAGCCATACTGTATCTTTTTTTGTAATAGATTAATATGGTTCTGATTTTAGCAGCTCTTTTAAATTCCCCCAATTTGAGTAACACCTTTAGCATGCATCATGTTATAGTAACATGTATTTTGATACATTGCTGTCAGCTATTATTGTAGGTTCTGCATATTATCGTATTGCTTTTATTTATTTATTTATTTATTTATTTGTATTTATTTACTTGACATGACTTGCAATGCCAGACGATGGCAGTTGCTATTTAAACTGTTTCATGTGTTAATTTATTCGGAAAGTAACTTACTGAAAGAACCGCTTCAGTGTTCCATTATTTAACTGGTTTATTATTTATTTATTTATTTATTTATTTATTTATTTATTTATTTATATTTTGTTGAAATGTATCAGCATAGAAAGCCTTGGCTGCGTGAAGCAGCATGTGTCAGGGCCATCCTCATCATCCGATCTGATTGCAGATGTTTTAGTAAAAGAACGAATTGCAAGTTCAAAGTCCTAGAAACGTTAGCTGCTGCATTGTCAGCTGTCTGTGCTTACATCATGTTGATGCTCAGCTGGTGAACGCTGCAAATGGTTGTTGCGTGAGAAATCAACCCCTCCCAAAGCCCTGCACTTACAGCTGAACCCAAGCTGCAGTGGAAGCAATGGGAGTGCTGGCGTTGGTTGAGAGAGTCCTGTTGCCACCTCTCATCGACATGAAAGGCAACGGGCGCCAGTAGCAGAATATAACACCTCCTAAACACAACTCCCTCACTTTCATGCCTGTGATCATTCAGAGACCTGGGTGTACCCAGTGCATCTCTTGCAGTGGAGTTTTCTGACAATAAAATTAATTCAGACCTGCTGTGCCACAGGCAAAACCACAGGGCACAAGTAGTCAGGAATCTGCAACCTAAAGCAAGGCAGCTTAAATTATTTAGAAGTTTAACTGCAGTGTATCTGTTATTTCAGAAAGCAATTGGTAACTGGTTTTATATGTGGATGTTAAGCACCTAATTAGAGTTTTAGAATACAGATTTTTATAGTTCATTTTGAAAGTATTTCCCTAGTATTGCAACATGTGCTAGGTGTCTTCTCAGAACCTTAGGAAAAAAAACTCAAGCCCTGGTTCTGAACTGCTTACAGTGTAAGTCCCCGGGTCTGGAAAGAAGCAGAAGCATGTGTTAAAGCCTGTACATTTTTGTCAAACCACTTAAGTCCTGACTTTCAGGAGGGCAAAATACATTAAAATATGTTTAAGGATTTAGAGCTTAATCCCTGACAAAGGATCACTGAAATTAAAGAAAGATTTCCATTGTGACTGTGCTTCCTTTTTTTCCAGTCTTAGAAATGGCTGGCAATTTCAGGTATTTAAACATTTAAATGTGGGAAGTATCTGATATTTCAGAAAACTGTTGATAATCTAGCTACAAGTGCTGTCAGCGTTTATTAATATTAAGTGTATGCATCTTATTTTTGCTACAAATGCAATTTACTGTGCTTGTTTTACAAGGGAACTAATAATAAATACATCTGAAAACAAGAAAATTTGGTTTACTTGTGATCTTTTAAGAAGAATGGTTAATATCACTCTTCACTTTCCTATGAGAATATTATACACTACTGCTGAGGCAACGTCTGTAGGGAGAAGTTATGTTACTGATTAATGCTACCAGGTTCATGACCTGTAAAGCTGTACAGGACAACACAGAAAAGTGATGTCTGTTAGTCAGCAGTCTCCTCTAAACCCTCTCCTGTAGGCTAAGAAGTTATTGTTTCTTTTGCAGTCTAAGAGTACGTTGAAGTTTGCTGGCCTTTGTGGTCAGGAGGTTTGCAACTGAAACCAGGCTGACATATATCTTGAGGTCTTTGAGGTTTCTCTCTAATACTGTTGGTACAGTGTTCAGAATTAGTAGGACTTTCCTGTTCTTCAGATATCTGGGTTGAAACCCTGGCACCATTGAAACCAATCATTGAAACCTCTCATTAACTTGGATTCAGCCTAGTTTTCACTCTCAGAAATACTCAGGCTAAATTTACAAGTATCTCGATGAGGGCTATGTTGATCTATTACCTTTAGAGGAATATCCCTTTCTGTGCCATGATCCCGTAAGATGAGTTGAACCTTCCTACAGAAAGTTTTTCTGGCACAGATCATGAGGTAACGAGGAGCCGGAAGCGAGGAAAGTCATTGTCTAAGATTCTTCAGAAAAATAACAAAGCACAGCTTGAAACTGCCCCTTTTTCTGCAGAAATCAAGTTAATTGAAAGATGGCTGCTCTCTAAGACATAAAGTTGGCTTCAGTCCCTGATTACCCATTTCCTGGGCCTTATATGGATCCAGTGCCTCTGAATATCTTCTCCAGAAATTGTTAGTCAGTCTCTCATCTCCAAGGAATTCTCTAGAGTGTACCAAAAGGCGTTAATGTTACAGCACAAATATTCACTAGGGTGGCTCCATACATTTCCTAACATACTCCATCCAGTCAAGAAAATAATAGTTGATGTGTCAGTTAATCTTTGTACTTCTCTTCCTTAATTCCTCGTCTTTGTGCACTGCAAATAATCTGGAAACGTTCTTATAAATGTCACAATGCATATACTCAATCAGGCTGCACAATGTACAAAATTGCCCCTAAAAAAACTTTAGATTGCAAAATCAAAGCTTTTGAAATAAAATAATGATAGAATTAAGCTTATTCCTGGGGCTCGATGGTTTGACAATCATTAATTACATAGTCACATAATAAGTCTTCTACTGGACCCCTGTCTTACTCAGTGACCCACCATTCTCTGGGAAGGGGCAGGTCCTCCAGCTTTCTATTCATACTCATCATTCAACACGTGGCTTTAGGTTTTGCCTACCACACCTCCCTAAATCTGCACTGAACAGAGACTGACTAATTCCCTCCAGGGCTTTTTGTGGGTGCTTCTCATCCTAAAGAATGCTTTACAAATAGTTGGTGTACTTAATGAGGCACTAAGAGGTTGCAGAGGGAGCTTGCTATCCTCTAAGTGCTTCAGCCCTTAGAACTGGGTAAGCAGGCACTTGCTAACAGGAAAAGGGGGAAAAAAAAGGCTTATATCTAATTCGGGGTTCTGTGAGAGAGTACATATTAGATTTCAGGTCCAAATGCTTCATATCTACCCCTCCTTCCAAGTTGACCTTCATCTTTTACCAATTCTTCATAAGTTGTAGCTTCTCTTCTATAAAAGTTACATTTTCAATAGAGGCAAAACCAATGTATGTCCTCTAACTTTGTTCTGAGACATCAAAAAAACTAAGAAACCTTTCCTCAAATATTTCCATTTGTCTGACTTCAGTGTGACAGAACTTCAAAGTGCTAAACACCTGGAAATTACATCTTAAAATACAAAATAGAAGGCAATTTAAAATAAGTCCTATTCAATGCTCACTGTCCAATTCATTCAGTGCTGTGTTAAGCTGTTAATGTCTGTTTGCATGTATGTGTGAAGAATCAAGTCATTCAGAAACATCAATGGTATGACACTAAGTGACTCAAAGGATTCACAGTCTAGTTGCACGATTGTAGCTATCGCAGCCTTGTAATTTATCTTAAAGACATCACAAGATACAAAGAAAAAGAATAAAGATTAGTTCCAGCCTTTGCAGACAGACATTGTGTTGGGTTTGGGTGTTTTTTGTTTTTTGTTTACTTTCTAAAATAACATATGAAACCTTCAGCTGGGATCTGTCCCAGCTTGATACCTGCAATTTTAAAGAAAGGCTCCTTTGATCTTTCTTAAGGTGTGGAAAATGGCAAACTCACCTTCCTTCAGGCAAATACCCAAATGTTTTGGCACAGTTTGATGCCTTAAGAAATACATCACTTGGTTCTCAAATCTTCCATTGAGCAAGACTTTAAAAGTCTGATACATTAATTGCACATGGGTGGACAACCCTAACAACCCACACGCAATAAAATTGATGGAGTCTGTGTACTGGGTTCTGTATAAACACGCACCAGAATCACTAAGAGGTCTGAATGTCCCACTCGGGACCATAACAATATCTATCTTGGCTTGCATGTTCGTCCCAGGTATACATGCTGTGTAAGATTATGTTCTTTAGCTATTCCATGTGCCATTTTTTCAGCACTGTTGATGTCCTCAATGTGAGGCACTTCATCTTATGAATGGGAACACGCTACTGTGCATCAATGCTTTCTGGAATGCAGCCAGATAACATCCTCTCCTCCCATGTTAAGCAGGCACTTAACAAATGACGTGTTGCAGCAGCATATTTGGCATCACATTTGTGCTCCATTCCGGGCTCCAAAGATAAAAGCAATATATCAATAACTGTGACAAATGTTCTCACTCTCAGAAAAATATACACTAATATTTTATCAGATGTAACAGGCCCATTAAAGTGAAGAAACATTTGTTCACCAAGTAATTGCTCTTTCTTCTTCAAAATAACAACTTGGAGAGGTAAGAGGTTGGGAAAAGACAAGATGCAATGATAAAAGTAGAAAACTATGAGAGACCCACAATCAACATAGATGTATTAAAACAGTACCTCCCAGCTCAATGGAAACCAGTACGAGTTTGCTGACGAGGCCAAAATTTCACTCATAGTTTCAGGTACGGTAAAGAGGCCTTACTTAACCAGCTCTGGGAAGCAGCTATTACTAAACAGATCTGAACATTTGTTTTCCAACAAACAACATTTTTTCCGAGTAGCTAAAATCAATCCAATGTGCAGTCTGTTGTCCATGCCTGCTTTGTCAAATCTAGCAATGTTAACTCATAAGGACAAATATAATATGCCACAAAGTCCCTAAACAGCTGACTGCCACCAACAGTTGACAATGACCTATGAGAATCACAGATTCAGTTTAGGCTGGAATGGACCACTGGAGGTCACCTGGTTCCCCGCATCACCGCTCCACCACCAGACCATGGCCAGTTTAGAGGACATCAATTTTTTAGTATCTCCAAGGATGGAGTTTCCATGATGTCTCTGGGCAATCTGTTCCAATGCTTGACTACTCTCATTGTGAAATTTGTTTTCCTCCCATCTAATTGGAATTTCTCTTGCTGCAATTTGCACTATTGTCTCTCTTCCTTTCACTGCACCTCTGAGAAGAGTCCGGTTCTTGTCTTCACAGAATCATAGAATGGTTTGAGTTGGGAGGGACCTTAAAAATCATCCCCATGGGCAGGGATATTTTCCGCTAGACCAGGTTGCTCAAAGCCCCGTCCAGCCTGGCCTTGAACACTTCCAGGGATGGGGCCTCTACAACTTCCCTGGCAATTTGTTCCAGTGCCTCACCACCTTTATAGTGAAAAATTTCTTCCTAATATCTAATTTAAATCTACCCTCTTCCAGTTTGAAGCCATTACTCCTCCTCCTATCTTCTCTGTACGCCCCTATAAAGTAGCTGAGGACAATAATGAGATTTTGTCTTCTTTCTTTAAACTGAACAAACCACTTCTCTCAGACTTTCCTTGTATGACACGTGGTTCATCCCTCTAAACATCTTGGTGGTCCTTCACTGGATTTGCTCCAGTATATCAGTGTCTTTCTTGTTCTGGGGAGCCCAGAACTGTACACAGAATCCAGATGCAGCCTCGTAAGTGCTGAACAGAGGGAAACAATGATTTTTTTGACTTGCTAATTCGTAATTCTTACGAATACAGCCCAGTACACAGAGTTGGACTTGTTCACTACAGGGGCAAACCACTGACTCATGTTCAACTTGTCAACCAAGAGAAGAACTGCTCTATTCTCCTCTCAATCTGCTGTTGAATGTTCTTGAAGACAGCACTGTGACCTAGATGAACCTTTGGCCCAACTGAGGATGACAGGTCTCAGGTTGTCAGACCAGCTCTGTATGAAGACTACCAGGGCAAACGACAAGCCTCTGCAAGTTTGGACAGAAAGATGCCTCAGATTAAGCATTTTTTCAGTCAAACAGTGACTATTTTCTCCAGTTGGCTAATGTGAATTCTGCTTATTCTTAAAGCTAGGCATATAGATACTGAGATACTTCAGTATCCTTTTAAACTGCAGTTGCAATAAATGCTTTGTGGCATTACTTTTTACCAAATTTAATTTTGAGATTTTGCATATGAGTATTACTTCACTGCAGAAAGGGAAACAGACTGTTGCTCTCTGTGTATGGCATTTTTCTTAAACCTTCAAGACAGCTGGATATTTCAAAACACAAAAATCTCCAGAACTTCAGCTGACCCTCTGCTCTGCCCTGCTTGTAGTGAGCTGCTATTTGCACACCCTGCAATATGTCGCATCTTCTCATCAGAACTGTATCCCTGCTATCTGAGTTACCTGGGAAAGCCCTGCAAATCTTAAGGTCCACTGCTCAGAAAATTAATCTTAATTTAATTCAAAAGCCCTAATCAAAACACCTAAACATTATCAGAAAGAAACCATTCATACCATAGCTTTCCTGCTATGGATCACAGAATAAGCATCAGGAATCCTTTCAATAGCAAGATAATTTTCAAATGCTGAGAAAAATCTAATCCAAACTCTGTCTCCTTCATTAGCCCTCTCCTACCTCCAAAAGTCCTTTCTTCCTTTCTAGACTAGTCCTCAGAAAATCTTCCTACATCAACTCTGAAGACTGCAAACCAATGTTGATACTCTTCTGCTAGAAGGATGGGATGGATACTAAGGTTGCATCAGACAGTACAATCTGTAGCACCATATTAGGCAAGACAGTGTAACCAAAGTGACAGATTTCCTCATACCAATGTCAAGGAACCTGTGTGTTCTGTCAAGCTGCAGTTTTATAATTTCAAGATATCTTCAAGAATCTTGTTTGCTCAAAGCTATTCAGACTAGGAGAACCTACTGGGTTGTTTGGGGTTTTGGTCTTGTTGCCTAATGTTGGTAATTGTCCACCAACCAACAACCATGTCCTGAATATTCTCTACGAGTTTAAACATGCTCTATGCCAGGCTCTATGCCAGAAACGTTTTGGGATTTCCAGAACAAAAACTTCACTGACATCCCAAAGCAGCAGACCAACTGGTTTTTGTGATCTCCACCTCACAGGAACATATACAGATGTCCAAGTTAAGAACAGACAAAAATTTAAAATGAAATCACTGCAGTAAGGGCGTTTAAAAAAAAAATCTACATGCATCCATCTCAAACCAGACCTTTGCCTATCCTGGTATTGGAATTTGATGGCCTCTTTTTTTTTTTTTCCCATTAAGTGATGAGAAATTAACCATTTATTCATTCCTACATTCTTTAAAGACAAGATGATCCATATCCCTCTTGGTTTCCACATAAGCTACTGTGGCCCAATGTCTACTTGACTTATTACAACCTTTTCTGTAAGAACTTCCAGTCCCTCTGTCTTAGTGAAATTACCATATATGACCCTAACTCCTGCATGGGGAAAAAGCCCCAGACTATCTTGCAAGGTAAACACGGAAATACTGTGAATTGCAATAGCACACAGGGGTCTTTCATATTGAGACAATCTGCACATCTACACTGCAGATCACTAAAGAGAAGGCAATTCTGGAAGGATGGGTTCAAACAAAACTGTAGGCTCAAAACTCCACATTACTTTGAAATTTATGATAATTATGACTCAGATCTGAGTTTCCCATTGGGACTCTACACCTGGTCTGTATTATAAAAGGCAGAAAATTATGCCTATTGATTAAGTCACTAACACACTGCTATGTTGGATTTGTTTAAAAAGTCCCACGTGATATGACACCTATTATGCTGGAAATAGCAACAAAGGAGATGGGCAGACAGAGGATCTTCTCCACATTCTCATGACAGCAAACTAGGCAGTAACTCAGCAGGATGCACAATGGCTGTGAACTCATCACTTCTCTTTGCTAGGCAGTGCAATGCAGTATCTTTGCTCCTCCTCTCACAAAACATTCTATCTGATCTCTAAACCGTTTGAACTTTAAAGGCAGAAGAATGCTGAAAAGGCTGGGGGATCTTCTGGGCTGTGTGTGAAGGTGAGGGTATTCACCTGAAACATAGACCTTTCCAAGTGGCAACTACTATCACAGTGCAGTCTGACAGGGCTCAGTGTACGGCCATACTTACCAGCATTGCCTCTATCCACAGCTAGTGACAACGGTCTCCTAAATTTCAAGAGAACAGGAATTAAGCATTTCAGCTCTACTGGTGTGAATCTTTTGGAATGCACCCAGTAAGAATTATTTTTTTCCCTGGGAATTATGTTCAGCTCTAAGTGTCAATATGGCAATAACAGAACAGCAATAAGTAACCACCTTACTGAGTCACTCCTTGAACTTGCTAATGGAGATGGAACAGTTAATTAGGCAAGGGGATTAGAAAAGTACAATACATCTCCTTTATCAACGCAATCCATGCTGTGACGCTCATCTTTGCCCTGTACTTACGACCTTCATGTTGTACAGAAGACATTCTTATTGACACTACCCATGGGCAACACCTTCTACTAATTACCTTCCCTACGAGGGGGATTTCATCATCAGGGTTCCTGGTCTTTGTGCATGCGTATATATATATCTGCTCTCACAGATACACGAATACACATTTAAGCTAAGTGTGCTGGAATACTTTGCGCACAGATTGGCTGTGAAACAGGTCAAGAACCCATGTCTGCCATGAAGATAACAGGCACCTTTGTGCTCCTCACCCTGGCAGTTCTTTGCTTAGCAAGTGAGTAATCTTTTTCAATTCCTGATATATTATAATTCTAATGTTCAAACAACAGAAGCTTCTTAGTCTACTGGGATAGTAAGCAATGGTTGCTGGACTTGGGTGGCAGAAACCAAGTGAAATTTTATGCTTGTGCACTATTTAGCAAGCAGTATTGCACCAGCTTTACAGTTGCAAACTTGAATAGATGAAACCTCAGAGTTGCATACTGCATTGTAACCAAAAAGGTGAACTGTAAAGCCCCAAAACTGGAGCAGGTTTTTACCTACTTGCTTTTTTCTTCCATCTGAGCAGGGAGCTTGGAGCTGATGATGTCCTCCTGCCAAACTGAGCGAGCAAGAGGCAGTTGTTTATAATGTGGCTGTGAATAACCTCTTTATAATGTTAGTTTGCCAGACTGGAGAGAGCTTTGAGGCACAAGTTGCTCTATAGTAAAGTGCAGGAGCTGGAATTAATTTCCTGAGCCCTCACTTGGTAATTTTTTTTTTACAAAAATTGCAATAAAAAAAGAAAGATATAGAAAAATAAGTACATTTAGAATAACTGAAAGGGGAGAGTCCAAATCTTCTGTTAGTAGTATAGCAGTTCAATAGCATTATGAATGCTCAAGAAGCAAAACAATGAAAATCTTAAAACAAAACCAAAATTACAAAACAAAAGAATCTTTTTCCATTTTGAATAGCTGTGAAACGTTTGCTTTGAAAGTTGTCTCAAAATGAAAATTTTTATGAAAAATGTGAATTTTAATGAAATAGCATGCTTTTAATGGAAACTGTTCTTTCAAACAGTTTCATTAACTGCAAAAAAAATAATATTGTTTTCATAAGGATTCCAGCAAATTCCTTCCTTGAACATTCTAGTTTATCTTGTCTGCATTAAAACTTTATGGCTCAATACTTTTTGAGCCATATCTTTTTTGCATTCACTCCCAAATACATAGTGGATACTAAAAGATTACCAGAGGAAAAAAAAAAAAAAAGAATGTTTTTGTGGAAGTGGGTTAAATCTGATCCAATTCCAGAATAATGAAAAGTCAGTCAAAATTCTGGTGATATAGACTGAAACTTGACATGGAGCATTATTCTTGCTACTTTGCTAGTTTTGCTATTTTTGCTAGTTACCTCGGACAACCTTATTTCATGAGAAGATGCAAGTACTCCCACTAAAGGAAGTTTCAGTGGAAAGCTTGATGGCTTTAGAGATCAATAAAAGCTACATTTAGTCAGAAAGGCAAGTGCTAGAGCTGTATTGCCTTTTATATCATAATGCATTTTCTTCCTGCTCCTTCTGTACAGAAGCTCCTGCCTGGTAACTTTTATCCCTTGGAAGCCACAGAATGACAATTACAGGAAAGAACAACAAAATACATTCCTAAAGAAAGTAACAAATGTGTCACCATAATGGAGACATGCCAATGTTACCTGATTACTTTATGGGAGGTATAATTATCATTGTTTTGAAGGAGCTTTTTGAAGCCCCACCTATGAACAAGGCTCCATTATATTAGATGCCATGTGTATACAAAATAGAAGCCAATCCTTCTGCAAAATAGTTTAGAATCCATATCAACCAGCAAGGGAAAACACTTTTTAAAGTGGTATTATGATCCAAATTGCATTATCATTATTATATATTATCCATTATCATTGTTATATCTTCAGTGAAGATATTATCCTCATTATTGACAGAAAACCAAAGTATAAAAGGACTATGTGATTTGCTTACAGCTACATATGATTTTTTTAAATAAACGTGGGAATTAAAACCCAGTCATGCTCAACATCTAGTTCATCCTAAAAAGACTGGCCATTGAACATAATATTGACTCCTGGGTCTTCAATCTTTCTCTGGTGAAAAGGGGAACAATAGCATCCATTCCCTCTGACAGCAAAGACTGTTCCAGTTGCTGACACAGATTTCTAAGGTAAACAATACAATAAGGTCCACTTGTTTAATAGGTCCTGACACCTGTAACTTATTAAACACTGAAAAACTATGTCAGTATTTACTTTCAGAAGGTAAGAGATTTGGTGTTGCTGGAAGGGCTGGTACTAATTAAATCATCCCAGGTGCCAACTTGATGTTCATCAACAGTGCTTTTTATTTTATCTTTTGTGGTTCTGTTTATATTGCAGATGCTGCCAAAGAGGATGAGGTGAGTAATTTTCTCCTTTACTTCTGGATAAAAATATATAGTTTGTAACAACGTGAAGTCCATGAGGTCAGAAAAAAGACGTATCAAACATTAATTAAATGCTGCCAAAGTACTGAGATTTCAGATAGCAATCCTTGGGTTTCAGATATGTGGTTTCCATACAGGTGCCCTGGCAATTTTCCTATGTTTTTACGTGTAATGCAGTCTGAGAAAGAAATTGGGCAAGGCCAAATTTTAAGTCAGAGAAATCAAGATTTTTTAAATATTTATCTGGTGATGACACTATAAGGCTTTCTGGGTGACTTTCAGATCCTAAATCATGTACTGAAAGATTTTAATTTCTCACTGGCTATGCTGGAGTGCCCATCCTGGGGTCAACTCTGAAAGAAAGGAGGCACCAAGCAATAAAAATCCTTACTCAGATGAGCAGAGACAAGTCCTTTGGGAGTCCAGTGGACAGTGGCACGGAGTGGAAACACACACACACACACACAGAGCTGGTCGCATACTAGCACAATATGTACAGCCTCTGATGCCTAAAACTACACCAAGATATACATACCTTGCCAGTAAGAACCTGTTCCACTTTCTACACCAAACTAAGTCTCTTCCCCATATCTAGGGCAAATTCACCTGGTTTCTAGCTTTTTTATTAGCTGGCCCTTGCCTCTCTCAAGTTGGTGGTTGACCAGTTGTAAAACGATAGGTTACAAGCTACAGAGATTGCCTCCCATGCCACTGCATCCGCTGAGTTATGTTGCGGAGACCTGTCAGATATGTCAAGTTTCTGACCTGCTTTTGCAACTGGGGCTCAGTGTGCTGCCTCCTGCTTTCCAGCCACAGAATTTGACATGAGTGAGCAGCCAGGGCTTTGGAGGAGAGAGAAAGGACCAAATGAAGGAAAAACCTATATGCCTTTTTTTTTTTTTAATGGGAGACTGGATTTAAGCCCATAATACCAAAAAGAGTGATTGGCTCATGACTGTTTTTGCCAGTGGATGGAGACCTCTTAGTGCTGACCCAGGCACAGGGGCTGGGCTGCTGAAGGGGCTGACCACACACAGCTCCTCACTTCACCCACCTGCAGATCCTGGGCAATGACTAGCATAAAAAAAATCGTATAATCTGTAATAAACTCCATGGTTTGGCTGAAGTAACACCCCTGTCCACTGAGAGTTAGAATGAAGGGGAAAAAATCAGGCCATAACAAGGGAACAGCAAGGCTGGGTTCTGTTTTAAATGTATACATTTATAATACATATTTTGTCTAGATCTTCAGAAAGGAAAAGCTCTACTCACAGTGTTCCTCCAAAGACTAATATGCTTCAAATTGTCACTAGACTATCAACAAAAAGAGCTGAACCAATTTTAGTTACAACAGCACCTACAGGGACAGGCGATTTCCCAGGCAAGCAAACCCCAGGCTTTTGATGATGACAAACAGCACGTTAAATTGAGTATGTGCACTACACACGGAACTCCTTGTTTGTCAAACAGCAAGAATGACAATCCCTTCACAGGAGAAAAATGAGCTCCAAAACCAGGACAGGAGCATTTTCAGTCATTTCTTTTATTAGTTTGTACTCCCATTTTCATATATAAGTCTGCAATGAATACAGGTGCACTGTCAGAGGAGGGCCTTTCAACAACTTCTTTTCATACTTCTGCCTGGGCAAATTTGTTCACCAGTGTAAAAAAGCATCAAGAGCTGATACTTGTATAATAAAGAGACAGAAAGCCTTCACATCCTTGAGAACTAATCTCACCTGAATTTACTGACAATTGTCATCAGGTAGAAAGAAATACTAAGACTCAACTTTTGTGTAGATGGAAAAGGGGCTGTATTTTTTTTTCCAGTGACTGTATTCTTATTCAGATAGACAGGAAAGTCCCTGAAGGTGCTCGGTACCTGACATGGGTAGCATCACACGTGTCTCGGTCAGAAAGAATGTTTCTTTTTTGAGGCTTAGGCTCAGCTAATATAGATGATAGAGCCCTATTGACTGTGCTGCTCTAGAGCAGCTGACAATCTTGTCCAAAAAATTCATATATTCATTATTTCTGTACGTGAATGGAGAATGTGAGAAAGATGGGTTCAAAGAAAAATGATACTGTATTTGCAGGTAGACTGCAGTGAATACAAGAGGTTAGAGAGAGGAAGACCTATTTACTGTGAAAGACTCTATCAACCTTTCTGCGGCTCTGATGGAAAAACATACAACAACAAATGTTCTTTCTGCAAAGCAGTCCTGTAAGTACAATACTATGTAATTACTCCTGAATAAGCCAAAATCTGAGATTAGCTGAATTATCTGGTATTTCTGTTCCACCTAAGTGCTACCATTTTTTTCAGCGTTGCTACTCCTCTGCTTCTTTGCCTAATCTTTATAGACTAATTGCTTCTCCCACCAATAAGGTTGAATTGATCTAAACAAATGACCTTGGTATTTGTGTGAGCAACTCTCTGTTCTAGCAGAAAGTGTAGATGTTGGACAGTAAAGAGAAGAGTCCAATGAGCAACACAGGGCTAACAAAGCACCTGGGCCCAAATCAGGTCATATAAGAATTCAAAAGTGGTATCTGAAGTATCTTGCTTTTTATGGATAAAATACATAATTTTGAAAAGAAAACTGCTTATAGATCAGCACCTTCTTGTCTGCTACAAATGTTTATAGTGTCTTCTCTGTTACCAAGTTGTTGGCTGAAGACTTCAAAGAGATTTTAGTTCATAAGGTTAGGCTTACTATCTGCAATGTCTTTGTCCTTTCTTTCCTTTGCAGAAGAAGCAGAGGTGCCTTACATATGAAGCAAGCAGGGGCATGCTGAACGAATCCTGCGTGACAGAGAAGAGCGCTGAAAACAGCTTTACACTGCCTTATCACAATCTCTTAATTTAATTTCATTCATCATGCCTGTTCTGATGATGACAAACAAATCACAAAATAGGCTTTTCAGCTATGGTCTGTCATCTGCTGCTTTTCTCAGCTCCAGAGCGTTGGGATGGACACTCCCGTCCTCTCTGCAAAGCACTTCCTCAGGATTCTCAGGAGCATTCCTGTTTCTATAGTAATTTAGTTTTCACATGAGCCCTTCATTATATGTTTGTCTCCATGGATAAAGCCCAAATCTTCTGACAATGCCACCTGATTTTAGTGGACACAAGTCAGCACAGGCATTGCCTCTGCTTCCCTTGTTGGTGAAGTGTTTTCTTTCATTTACCCAGAAACTCTTCCAGATACTTCTTTTCAAAGGCTTCAGCTTTCCTAGGCAGTGCTTTGACTCTTCCAGTGTTGTAGCTAAATTTTAAATTCTCATTTTTCTTCTAACTTTGTACAATTCTGATCTATATATGTTGTTTAGCTACTTAGATTGCATGGTTACTAAAATAAACGTTGACTCTTTTTTTTTTTGTCCTTGGTGACCTTTCTAGAGAACAAGTTTATTGCACCCATTATTCACCAATGAGATATTTCCCAAGTTACAGAAAATAATCATAGAGCCGGAGCTAGGGCCAGAGGTAAAAAAACAAAGCCTGGAACGAAAGTTGTAACACTGATAATATGCACTAGATGGCCTCATGATACTGGAATTTACCCTACAATAGGTCTCTTTTTTTTTTCCTTCAAATGAAATAAATCTGGTAAATTGTAAGAAGGTATAAGCTTTATATATAAGCTGTCATTTAAATGTGATTATCAGTTATTCTGTTCAATTCTGGTAAATTGCCTGCTTTCAGACCTGAAGAAATTTCTGTTCTGCTCTTATGTCCTTATTTTCTTCATTATTAAGGTAGTTTATGTCTTCTATACTTAAATAGTCAGTCAAGGGAACTCATTTTGCCAGAAGTAAAAATTATGAATGACTGACTTGACTGGGCTTACACATGAAGAAAATTTTGGAACTGGAATGTGGGTATCATTTCTGATAATTTCTGTCTGGTACTGTAGTTGGGCTGGGGTAAGACTCATACTTCAAAAGAGTGGAAAATGAGGAAAGAAGCTCATGTCCTTGCCTTTGAAGGCAAGACACCAAAAAGCCTACCCATTCCACTGCTGGCTGAATGCCACTGTAGCACCAGGCAGACTGCATTCTGTAACGGAAGGATCAAGAGGATTTGTTGGTCCATGGTGTTGGTCCATGTGCTCTTTCTCCTGGCAGAGCTGAGAACATCACCCTCATTCCCTGTACAGGGGAAGAGGCTGTTGGACTTTATGTGATGCTGATTAACAACCAAAGAGTCTTTCACAGGCTACTTGTTTACCAAAGAATTAAACAGTGCTGGGACACAGCTGTGACCACTGGAACTCCATCATCTTTACTTTGAAATTGTAAGCATGGCCCTGGTATGATCTTGTCTTGGATCAAAATTCTTCCCAACAGTTCTCAGGCACATCTTGGGAGGCTAGGGACCATTCCCAAATAGGGAAATGGGTGAAGTCACCCTGTTTTGGAAGGTAAAATCATTTCATAGCAGAGACGCGACTAGACTCAACTAGCTGGCCTCTGGATGAGAGAGGCTCTGTTTAATTTGCTATACACACTGATGTAACCCTAGTCTCTAGTTTGATTTATAACATGAACTGGCTGAACTATTTTAATGCTAATTGCCTATTACACTGAGTACATCTGGAACATCTGGAAGAATGATAAAGCTGAAGACAACAAAAAATGAAAGGAAAAATTGAAGATTTATGAAATGATAGATTAAGTATGTAAACAAAGTGCTATTTTCCAACCAAGCAAACACCGTAACAAGTAAATACTCTGTATTTCTGTGTCAAATAATACTAAATAATGAGTATATTTAATAAGGGACTTCTTTTTCTTCTCCTGACTCTACAATTCCCTAATGCATTGCATTTCTGGGCAAAATAACAGTAGTTGCCGAACATTATGCAAATCTTGGCCAGATGGATTTCTTAACATTATATGCTCTTCCCAGTCACTGGTGTGTCCCATGAAACTTCAGGCAGCAGAACAGGGGCCTAGGGACTGTTTTTGGGATGGAGTGGGGTTTATTCCCCACTGCGGGAGGCTTCATATTCCTTTCTAAGTGACAGTGGTGCTCTTAGTACATTAAAAACCCACTCCTCAGCCCACATCATTCAAAGGTCACTGAAACTGATGGGAAGCTACCTGTGACCTTGGCTTTAACTCTCACCTTTCAGAAAGGGGAAAATGGGCATGTTATTTTCTAGGTGATGCATAAGCAGAAGATACTCGCTTTGACCTTCTATTGAGGTTATCACTTTAGAACAACAGTCTTAGCCAAGTGCCAGGATAAAATTGGAAACTTAAACATTGAGACTAATGAAGATGGATTAAGAGTTTCTGCATAGACTACAGTCCCCTTCTCTTTGTAACTGAAGTCAGGATTAATTAGCATTTTCATGTGTCAAAGGACAGACTACTGCTCTGAATGCCGGATCACACAAGTATGAATCCTAGACTGAGGAGTGTGGTCATTCTCTTCATGGTACCTTCCAGACTGTGTTTCTGCTGGGGTATTTCTGTCAATAAAATCAGAGTTCATGTGTGATGCGGGTGGGGAGAAGTGGTGGAGGGCTTCATCTTCAGGGGCCATGTTCTTCCTGAAACAGAAAAAGCACAATTCATTAAAAGCAAGCTAGTTACCTACTATGCCAAGTTATCGATGTTATTCCAGAAAAGCTGCCAGAACAAATCACATTTCCATTCTTCATCTTTGCACTTTGTTAACAAAGGCTTAGTTAATAAAGGCCATTTCCATGAAACCGAATATTCATTTCATAGTTAAAAAAGAGAGCCTCAACATACAGCAGGTTTCTATCATGTATGTTTCTTTATTTAGTCCCTCCATCATTAAATTTTTCTGATTGTGTGAAGTTTATGTTGCTAAGAACTATGTTCTAATGGACATACTTAAAATAATTTTTCATGAGACTGTCTCAACTGCTGAAGCAAGTTATCAGAATGACACATTTTCAAATGTAAATTATACTCATGGTTGCTTTGGAAAGCAGACCTTCCTTCTGCATTAGTGAAGAATGGATACAACAAATCACAGATGATGAAACTTGGCACGTTCAAGCATTTTCAGATGGTGGCAGTGACAGCACCATGAGCAGATGGGTGAATATCAAGCAGAAGCAATGGACAACATTTTAATGTGATACAGGAATCTACCAAATTGAGATCAACACATATAGCCTAGAGTTTAACATCGCATAAGATCTCTTGAATTTTGTTCATCTCTTCTTATCCATTAGCCCCCACCTTGACGCCTAAAAGAGAAAGTGAAGACAGAATGTAGATAGATGATACTGGAGATTAATATATCAAATGCTGAGAAGCAATGGAATTAAAGTCAAAGAGGATTATTTTTTATGGAAGGTAAAATACATTATCACAACAAGAGAAGCTAAAGGTGAAATGTAATAATTACTAAAAATCTTAGGAAAAATGAGAGGAAACCTTCAAGAGAAAAAAGTCCAGGGAAGATTTTAAACCTGGAAGCTGGAGAGCACTTGTCCATTCCTTCTCCTTGTTATCTCCTCAGGCTTACTTTTGTGCACAAACCAGAGCAATATAATCTTTGCTTATTCCTAAGGATGCATCTGTTAGCTGAAAAAATCTGTAGTGAAACACACATTGACCCTACTGCCTTCTTTCTTTTCCCATGATCACTTAGTGGAGAAGATAAAGCAATCAGTACTCAGCTAAGCTGTGTAGTCAAGAATCCTGCAGGCTGACTGAATCACTAATAAAGGGTCAGGTACAGGTGGTATCTTTTTATCTTCTCTATGAAATAAAGAGGCTGGAAATCCTGGTAATTCTAACACAAAGTCATGTGGACTATTTTAGTAGTTTATATGGTTATTCTCCCACTCTCTTTTAACCCAGCCTGAACTTCTGTGAATAAACAATGGAGAACACTAGAATGGTGGCATATATTATGAAAATACTGATGTCAGCTGACATTAGAGGTTTTTTCCATTTTTCTCTGGCCAAAGATAGGGACATTACATATCATTCAAATATTTGCTAAAAATCTTCGAGAATCTAGTGAAGTTTCCATGTCTTGAAAATACAAGTAAAACATCTGACTAGAAAAACAATGCAATAAAAATCCTCCATTGGATCACCAGACTATTCAGGTAATTTTAATGCATTTTTTCTTTCTTCTTTAGCTAGACTGCTCACATTAGTACCTTCAGCATTGATTAGATATGTTGCTGGTAAAAGACAAATTGTAAGTCTGTGCTAAAGTAATCAGAAACTGTTGGCTAGAGCCACAAGTGCTTATGGTGTGAGAACAGCGAGACTTAAGGACTGTATGCATGGACTGGTGAAAGAGGCTGGTCAGATGGCTTGGACTATTATGTTTTGGATTAGGACATGTATAAAGCATAAAGATGTAGGCTGGTACAGAAACTAAAGATAAGTCAGTGGCAGCAAAAAATCTGCCAATATGAAATGTTACTGCTCATCAGCTAAAGTTGTTTCCTGTTAAAAGAGATAAGCTGAGAAAGGTAAGGAACCTAATTCTCTTAGTATTGAATGGGAGGAATAAATAGAGAACTTTGGCAGAAAATTCTTCTGTCTATCCTAGGACACAGACTAAAGGCACCACTGTCATGAATTCTGTTTATCTGGAAACGAGGTCCCAGCAATTAGGCAGTAGGAAGGCAAATGAGCAAGGTAATGTTGTAAAAGTTTCTCACAGCACAAAGGCTTGGGGATCTGGACCGGTCAACCTAAAAAGATTCTCACAACAGGGCATCTTGCCCTCAATGCGTCTTGACTGAGAAAGATCAAATTGAGAAAACACAGCCAAACTTTGATGT